GCGACAAATAGAAACAAACGACAGCGACAAGCCTCAAACACATGCAGCATGCTCGCGATGGTACCGTTGGCAGGCGTTTAGTCGTTCGCTGCTCGTGAAGTAAGCACGAGTGATTGCAAGCCTACCAAAGAGACCATCGCGTGCATGATGCTATACTCTGTTTCACCTTGTGTTGTACCGCAGGAAAGGCTACAAGCGCGAGCTCCTTGCTCTATGGCACACCTCGGCGGCACAGGCTCTCGTGCATCAAGGGCAGCTGTCAATGTTACGAGCTCGCGCTTCTAGCCTTCGCTGCGGTACAACATAAGGTGAAACGGAGTATAGTGTTTGAGCAAAACCTCCTTTAGTCTACAAAGCCTGTCAAATCGCGAAAGACTCTGGTTTGAGGCTTATCGCTGTCGTTTGTTTCTGTTTGTCGCTCTAGTGGGACTCGGGCAAAAAATATTTTCACTATTTGTTTATAAAACAACAAAAAAAATGTCAGAAACCAAAATGGTATATAAATCACTACCTTTTCGCTGCTTGTTTGTAGCGTCATTGACCGTCGTTGCACACGCTCTGAACAAGCAGCAACAAAACGTCGTTCCTCGTTCAAGTTTAGATCGTGTTTTCGTGACAAGGTTCGCTGGTTTAAAAATAAAACGGGTCACTGCGATAGTTTCACGAACGTAAGGCATCGTGACTTTGCGCTGCGTTTATGGATATGTCGCTAACATCCCATTAATACTTTTAAGTAGAATAAAAATAACCAAGATCATATGCTGCATATCAGAGAGATGGGAAATTTCTACGAGCGTGTTGACGTACAGCCAGTAAAAATGTGAGGTGGCCCGGTTTAGTGCTAGCAGAAAAGAGTGGAATGCCGTACGCGGTGCCTCCGGCATGCTACGCTATGAAGCCGACTGCCACGTTGCGACAATAGGGAATTTGACAATCTATTTCAAGCTCTTTTTTGAACCTCTGAAAGTGTACCCAGGGGGAAGGCTTTCGTACCGCACCGGTCGGCAAAACCGCGGGGCCAGCGCATATGGCCGCACCAAGTACTTACTGAAGGAACAAAAGCTAAACACAAAAAGAGTACAGACAGACTTCCAGATTCGCAACATTTATAGGGAGCATTCACTGGACGCCATATTTGTGGGTGTTGTTTAGAGCGCATGCTCAGAACGAGCTCACATTAATAGCCTGCTAAGACCGGCACTTCTGATGGTGCGGAATGCACGTTGCAAAAGAAATGTAGAAGCTCGCCATCAGCACGCGCTCAGCATTCCCACACACAGCTATGGCCGCCAGTGAATACTCCCTATAACAATAAATACTCTCGTGAGCCTGGAAGCCTGCACATCTCTGTCGTCGTCCCCTTTTGTGATTAACTGAGAGATAATCGCTCTGATAATCAGTCGTAATCCAGATGGTTTGTTGATACATGCTTGTGATTAGGGAAAAAATAATATGAATTATATATAATATATAATAATAATAATAATATATATATATTAATTCTATATACCTAAAAAAATGAAACATGGTTTCCCTTCCCGTTACTTGGCAAAAAAGTGATTTCTTCATCTAGCTGAATCAATGCAAAGTGCAACGGCTGTCCTTTCTCGTTCTGCTAAAAAGAAACGCCTCTTAGGCAGGCCGTTTTCGAGAACACCGCAATTAAGTACTTCGAGATCAGAACCGTTTTCCCACTTCGCAGCACCTCACCTAAAAAAAAAAATAAAAAGAACACTGTTGAATCACGTTTGGCACTCATGCTTGTGACCATCCTTAGTTTAAAGTCACTGGATCCTAAGGAAAGTAGCGCCAAGCTGCCCGTATGGTCCTAATTTCGGTCCGTGTAATGAGCAATTTCTCCTTGACCCCTCCGTTATTGGTGAGCCGATCTAAATTTGCTGGTGACGGGCAGCTTTTTGAAGACGTTTCTCGTATACTGAGATTTGGCTATTCCCCCATGGGCGAAACAAGCCTACATCTTCGTTCCACCACCACAGGCTGTGTCGGTGCTTGGAGGCAGTGAAAAATAAGTTTACTGTTTTTAATACGCGAGAAGAACAACATATTTGTAAGAGATCCGTGGAGGTGGCCATGATTAATATGCCGATTGCACACACAGTGCCAAAGACGCTTATAGTGGCGAGGAACGCTTCCAGTACGATGATGCTCCATGATGATCTTGGCGCGACTGGTTAGAACGATCATCTGCAAGCTTCGAAGATTTGGATGGACCGAGAGGGCGATTTCGATGGCAACGTAGACAAATTAATCAATCGTCTTGCGAGGTTTTGGTCGTCTGTATGTTAGTCTCTGTTTGTGTTCGGTTCGCAGGCAGGGAAGGCAATGGCGGTACTTTCCCAGGATCCAGTGATCCTACCTTAGATGAGCTTTCGAACGAATCGTTATTAGGCTCCCGCTATACTCGTCCGCGCGGATGCCGCGAGGTTCGCGATCTGTTTTCGCTTTGGTTATACCTTGCAACTATAAACCGCAGCTCTTAAGACGACAATGGCGCTGTCAAAAGCACCTGCTTGCGCCTCTTTATCTTTACATATTGATTCCCAGCAAACACCGTAAATTCTCGAGACCAGATGAATAGGCACACGCAGAAGCACGCACCGACTCGCACGCGACCAAGCCGTCGATAATAATCCAGGACGCCGCGATAAGTTGAACTTTGCCACAGCAATCACTAGCGCTGCTGCAGAGCCGGACGATCGCGGAAGTGTTCTTTTTTTATTATTTCTTTTGTTATCTGTATTATATTTGCTATTATTATTATTTATTATTAATATTACTGAATTTCTACGAAAAAAAATAACACGATTAATACATAAAAAATTATAAGCAAAATAGCGATTTAAAATAAGACACTTCAACGGATTCGACATTCTTCTCTTTTTTTTTTTTTTTTCTTCTTCTTCTTTTCCGCTTTAACGCGTTAAAAGAACCAATTGCGACGAACTGCGTCTTCCGGGAATCGCGGTCCTAACGGAAATGAGCCAGGAATTTTCCGCCGAGGCCATTTAATCCGAACTGCGTCGCTCGCCTGTCTCAGGTGGGAACTCTCGAAGGGAGGATCGCCCAGCAAATCACAGGGGTTGGTGCAGAGTTCAAGTCGCCACGAAGCAGCCAAACGAAAATGAACGACCCCAGGAGAGCACCACATTTTTCAAGCACAATAGAAACTGTGGGACCAAGTTAGCTTTCCTTCGATTTCCACAGACTTTGCACCTGGATTCGTTGAGACGCGAGGTCGACTGCTATTCAATTTCGAAGATCACGCTCTATAGCATTGCCTACGCAAAAAATAACAACAAGAGGACGGAAATCTAACCACGTAACCGCCGGCGAAAGAAACCGAGGCGATCCCGCGAGTTTCTGAGATGGTCTCGACTAAAGAAGTTTGATGGAGAGCTGGTGTTCTCCGACAAAGCAAAATCAGCTTGCCGGTGATCCAAGCACTCTTCCTCATTAGCGCTCCTTCACAAACGTGTGTGTGTTTGTGTTTGTGTATGTGTGTGTGTGTGTTTGCGCTCGTGTTTGCGCGCGCGCGTGTGTGCGTGTGAGTGTGTGTGTGCGCGTGCGTGTGCTTGTGCTTGTGACCAGCTGATCACACTCCAGTGTAAAAACGGTCACTAATGTGGAATTCCTGTGTTGCATTTGGAGCGATCTAAAAGCGCACGTGTGTGTGTGTGTGTGTGTGTGTGTGTGTGTGTGTGTGTGTGTGTGTGTGTGTGTGTGTGTGTGTGTGTGTGTGTGTGTGCGTGTGCGTGCGTGTGCGTGTGCGTGTGCGTGCGTGTGCGTGCGTGTGCGTGTGCTTGTAGCCAGCTGATGACACTCCAGTGTAAAAACTGTCACTAATGTGAAATTCCTGTGGTGCATTTCGAGCGATCTACAAGCACTCCATGCTCGCGCCTTTAGTGCGTTTGATGCGAGAGCGGGTTTGATGCGAGCGCGCGCTCGAACTCCCAAGAAGATTTGAACAACCGAAGTGCTTCAAAACCGCTCCAAATCCACGAAGGTAAATAACATGTCATACCTGACATATCACCGAAAAGTGTGTCTAGTCTGTGAGTCGAGTGGGACAATCCCATACGTAATCAGCTCTACTTCCGGATAACTTTCTGTGGCAGTCGAAGCTATGGGCGCAAGTGCTCTTGAGCATCTTAAGCGCTCATCAAAGCTGTGCTTGCGCACTCCACTTCTTTCGAAATGCCACAGAAAGTTATCTGCGGCTAGAGTAGTGCCGATGTCCGGGAAGACGCGAAATTTCGACCGTTAGCGTGTAACTTATAGCTGCGCCATCGCCACTGGAGCCCCAAACCCCAACCTCCATTTAAACTTTCGAAAGTGCGCGAATAACGAACCCCAGTTTTTATTTGTATGTGAAATGAGCTTCAAGGATGAAGTTTTTAAGATGTGGAATCAGCATCAGGCAGACTACTGAACTTCGTTTATCTAGTGTAACTGAGATTCAGGTTGAGTTTTATATAAAAGAAAAGGCCAATATTATGGTAAGGTACCTAAGCCAAAATGCCCTATTATATTTATGTCCCTTCATTTAATAAACAAAGAAGCAGGAACAGAAGAAGAATAAAAATCCGCAGTTCTTTCTGTGACTGGTTACTCCGTGGGGGAAAAGAGAGGAAAATGCAGACTTGGAGGGAAAAGGAGCTGACGAAACCAACGTCGCACCGCCTCGGAAAGACGTTCGCCCAGTGCGGGACAGTCGCGCGATGGTCCGGGCTCGCGTCAAGGGGCCCTCGTCCCTCAAACTGAGCGCGACAGAAGACCTTCCGGCCATCTGCCCAAAACGTGCATCCATCACCTCATCCATCACAGGCATTGCAGCGAGAGGAAGTGCTGGATACGGCCAACGCGCGACATTGTGGGCTGTGCTCGCCACCCTGAAGCCGAGCTCGAGCGAGCCTCTCGGAGTCAGGGCCCCGAGGCACGGCCCTAGTCGGGACAGCCCGCGGAGTCGGTCGTCCACTCACCGAGCAAGCGACCGGTGTCCGAAGGAGCCCGGCGTGCCCGAGCCTTGGTCCAGTTATCCGGGGGGTCCCGGCCAGTCAGCGCGCCATCCATGGACCAGGCGGCGGCAACGGGCCCCTCCGCTAGTCCATGCTGCCTGAGCCGCCGTTGACAGCGCGGTGTTGGCTGGTAGGGCGGTGCGTACCCGGGCGCGGCTAGCTGCGAGCGAGCTCCGACCTCCGAGGGCGCGACGCCGGATTCAAAATCCGAGCGAGCCGGCGCTACGTTCAGGTCTGCGCTGGTGGCGGCGCACCGTGCGCCGCTACCCGGCACGCAGCGCCGCCGCTCCGCGGGCCTCGACGCCAGGAGCCGCCAGCGCACACGCGCTCGGGGCGGTACGCGCGGCCTGCGTCGGACAGCGGGCGCTCTCTCTCTCTTCCAGGAGACCCACTGACGACACGGGCCACCCTGGAAAGTGAAGGACAAGCCAGGCAGGACGAGTTTGGAGATACTTTGAATAATTAGGTTTAGAAAACGTGTACCTTGCTTGAAGGACATTCTCTGATTATGTACCTGTTGTATTTTTTTTTTTCTGGTACCTTCCGAAGAAAGAACAACTCCCGACTTCGAAGTACATTCCCGAAATTCGGTTTTGTTAAATTGGTATCACGAAACTACGCTTTGTCTTCTTTAAAGCAATACTGGGAGGGATATCATACTCTCACCAGAAACGTGACCAGACGACGCATTGATCATCTGCTCATTTCTCTGAGTGAAGTAATGGTGGCTATCAGACCGATACAAATAAGTGCCTCATAAGTTGATTCTGGTAAATAATTCGACAGCGACTACTGTGTGGCCTCTTGACTTTATTCAATATTCGCCGCCGTTTCCGAAAATAATTTATTCACCCCTGATTACCCTAGGGCAATGCATACCAATTTAAAAAATACAGAATAAAGGGCACCACGATAGATTGTGTTAAAAGTACTTGTACTTTAAAATGCATTGTATTTATAGTACTTTTGTCAAGATATGTACTTTGCGCCCGATGTACTTACTACTTTATTTGAAGTAAATAACTTCTCATTTACTTTGTACTTTCCTGCAAGTAATTTTCAGGTGCACTTTACTTAACACTGGGATGGAGAAATGACGTTCAACGACAGGACGCTCTTCCAGTCGCTTATAGCTTCCTAGCAAAGCGACGATCGTCTTTCTGAAGTTGTCCCAGAGATCACTGTTCCGAAATGCCTGTTCGCCGGCACAAATGGACCGTGTGCCAACCACAAGGGAGCTTCGAAAGTGGTCCCGTCAGCGAGCGCCAGCTTTACCAGAGGTGGCGCTGGCCATCGCCAATGACGGGACGCGCAGGAGTACAACTGAAGCACGTCTTTGTCGTTCTAACCGCCTTAATGAGGTAGCCATTGCATGGACATGAAAATCGGCTGCAAACATTAACATTCACTCGCGAAAGGTGGGCAAGCGAAGTCACCACGAACCGTTTGTCATGACATTTTCTGCGTCTGCCCAACTTGCTTAGTGTTTTATTCTAGAAGTTTCACATACGACCTTAGCACTTATTGCCATCCATCAAACGATTTTTTATTCGACATGTTCCACTGCAGCTATTTGTCATGGGTAATTTTAATTTTGAAAGCGGGAATAACGAACAGTTATTGAGTAAATAGATATTCGTTAAGAACAATAAACACACTGGACGTAGGTAGAAACATCATTGCATGAAATAGTATAGAAATCGTACGTATTCCTTAACAGGGAAACGCTCTGTGCGGGAACTATAGCGGGCGCTTGGAAAAACGCGCGTAGCGCCGCTAGCGGAGGAGCTGGCGTTCGACAGTGAGGCGCGCTCAGCAGCGGCGCCTTTTGGCGTGCGAAGCTGTGGCGGCGGAAGCGCGCACGGACGGAGCTTTTGCTTTTTGAGCCGATATAAGTTGAGGGTGACGTTGCATGAGTGCTGGGAGAGATTTAAGAAGGGCATTTAGCTGTTCTCCCCTGCTTATATATTGAGTTTGAGTCGTTATTAGGGGTAATTTCTTTAGTTGTGGTCGAAAAAGGGGTTTGAGCAATTTTCCGAAAAGCAAGACGGCCGCCACCATAATTGCTCTCAGTGGGAAATTTGTTTCGCTCGTCGCTGTAAACGTAGGACTGCTGGAACGACGATATTTGGAGGCGAGTGAGATGTTCACTAAGCACTTGCACTAAGTGGGCCAAGTTTTATTAAGACAGCAGGTGTGAAAGTTATGGTTCTAACGAATAAAGGAATCAAGCTGTCAGGAATATCCAATATTGGATCCAAAATGTTGTTATAACCGGGCTGTGCGAAGTGCAGATTTGGACACACAGGTTCTTGGACATGAGCGTAAACTTGACACAACAGTTATAATACCAAAAATATGTGGCATAGGGAAACCAGGTGGAAATTTGGTTTGGGCGGCGTAACTGAATGGGGAAACGGTTTTGACCGTGAAAAGGCTGTGAAGAGAATACCACTTGTCGTGGGAGATGGAGACTTTACAGCTAGGAAGAGACTAGAGCACTGTACTTCCAATCGAAATAACCTTACGAAAGGTGGCTTCAAAGCCGAGAAAACCAAAATGCCGGCCGACACACGGTTTGGCCGTCAAAGGCTTTTGCGGTCAGCTTTTGTGTAGTAATCTGGTGGTGCGAGGTGCTGATTTTCGGCTCACAGGTACTTGGACAACCGTAACTTGACAAAACACTTATTATAACTAAAAGAGGTGGCATAGTTTAACCAGGTGGAAATATTTTTGGGCGGCGTAACTAAAAGGGAACCGGTCTTGACGGTCAAAGGCTGTCAAGAGAATAAAACTCATCACGGCCGGGAGGTGCACACTTTACAGGTAGGAAGGGACCAGTGGACGGTACTTCCAGTTCGAACAACTTTGCGATAGGCAGCTCTAAAGTCGAGAAAAAAAAATTGTTGTCTACAAGACTCGGGGTGTCAGCGTTTCCACGTACAAAAGGAGGCTGATCGAAAAAGAAAGCACACCACATAAACTTCCATACTCAAACATCGATTGTCCATTGATTCCAAGTTTCATTGTAGTTTTCCTTAGATTCATATTTGTCACTTTATGTACCGTCCGAATCTTCCTTCATGAAGTATGGACTGCGTGCCATACTGGTCCGGAAATATCATCGACACGTACGATGGGGACGAAACTTCCTTGGAGGGCATTCCCTCAACGAAATTCGCACTGCATACCCCCGAGTGTGCGATGGCATTTCAGTTCGAGCTGAGATATGTAGGCGTTACTGGTACGAAAACAAACGCAGAGCGCAAAGCGGAAGTGTAGAAAATGTCAGCCGTGCCGACACAGTGGCAGACATGATCGGGAAACCAAATTTCTCTCGTCGTACGGCACGGGTCCATCGTTGTCGCTGTCCCACAAAGCATCGGCGAGGTCAAAAACTGTGAAACTTCGTCCCCACGAGAAACGACGCATAACTATTGGAGCACTTAACGACGCAGCAGTTCATGCTGTCAACCCAGCGTAACCGCACCGCTCCGACCTCAATGTGTACCAATGTAAGCGGCGTTGTTTCGTTTCGCTGGGGCTCTCCCTGCCTACCTTCGGTAACGGCCACGCGGCGGCGCGCCGGTCGCGTCGCACGGAGTGTATGGCTTGATTGTATAATATCGTGCTAAATATTTTTTTTTTAACGTGAAAAGCGTTTGTGTAATCTTGGACCCGTATTATGACGTCTTTAGTGTATATTGCTCAGCACTCAATATACTCGCTTTTGAGTGCATAAGTTATTGAATATAAATCCACCATAATGTAAATAGTGTAATTTTATACTTTGAAGTGTGTCTCAGGGTGTTCTGTGCGACGCTGGGTTTCTCTAAGAAAATTTAACTCTCAATTAAATTAACACTAATTATTCCCAAGCGTAAAAGAGTAGCTGGCACCACTAAAGTGGCGGCCGATGTCTCCTCTTTATTTATTTTTTTCCTGTTATTCAAACTGCAAAAAAAAAAAGTCTTTTTTTTATGATAATATTAAGCGACGTAAAGGCTGAACTCCATGGAGCGAATATGCGACGAAGGACCGACGAACTTCGCCTGGCGGCGCGCAACAACAGCCTTCTGGCGCCACGCAGGGAGCGAACGCCGCCGGGTGAAATTCGTCTCCCTTTAACGTTATGTCCTGTGCTAAAATTCTTCGTCGTTCAAGATACCGTACTCCAGAGACGCCAAGAAGAAGAAAGATTCGAATATCAGCTTTGAACTTCCACAAAATAGATATTCTAAACTAAGCCTTCCAGTTTCAAGATTCGATCAATAGTTTCCCCCTAATCGGTCTGCCTAATGAATACGACGTGCCGAATCGAAGGGAGAAAGAAAAACAATCGAACAGGTTCCGAAAAGGCGGCATAACTAATCACTTATCTCACGCGGGTCCCGAGTCATTAGTCTAGCGCGGATTTATCTCCCAAGCTTATTTCCCAAATCAACTCTACGACAATCGTTGCTAACAAAGAGCGTTGAATATGACAAAAACTAAACAAGAGCGGTAACTGAAAACCATTAATATCCTAGGGGTCAACTTGGATCGCTAGCCGATTCAATAAATATTGTGCAGCCCGTGCCAATTAATCTAACTGCTTCGTAATTAAATTTACCTCCCTAGCCCGTGTTTGCCAAAATATGAGAAACACGGGGTCGATCGGTGTCTTTGATAAAAGGGGCGTAACCTCTCATTAGCGTCACAGTGGGTTGAGCGCGGTTACAGGGAAATACGAGGATAAATTACACGTTTTTACCCTGAGACGAAAGCATAAAAGGACCTTCGTGAAGCAAGACGGAGGATGTAGAGCAGATATCGGATCGCGGAACCAATGACTCCTCGAGAACGGCAGAGCACGAGGAAAATTACGTTGGTTCTCTTGTCGACTGATACCGGTTATTGTTAGTGGTGCTGCAGACGTTTCTTGACCTCACAAAAATCGGACGAGTCATACCCCTGCCATGCGGTTAGATTCAATGTCAGTTCTATCGAATGACATTTCCCGATTGTCCAATCAGCGCGCGTTACTCCTGGCGTATCGCAGTGCACGCGGGACGCTCGTAGTCAGAATCGCGACCTGATTCGTCAGTCTCTTCAAGAGGCAATGCAAAAATCTATGTACTTTCAGTAAATACCGCTTAGAATTAATCCTTGGCATTTATAACATATGAAACACCTGTTAGCATTTTGTTTGTTTGTTTTCCACGCAATGGGCAGTCGCTGAAAAAAAGTCGTGATAAACGAGCA